CAATTCCCAGAAGCCGGATTACTGGGTCACCGCACATTACATTTTCAAGGCTCTTGGTATACACTAATTAGTTTTCAAAAGTTCTACCACTTTGCAAGGCCATGGCCACAGGCGGATCAGCAGCTTCTGGCAACAGTGGGTAACATAAGACGTGCTCCTAACTTAATAGGTGAAAGGTAAGCCACTTTTGAGTTTTAGTTTGACGGCTAGCGAGGTTGAACATTTTTCCTGATGTTAAGTCATTAGCTTTGCTTTCTTTTATTGTGAATTGACTGTTCATGTCCTTTGTGAATCCTTTAATCGGAGACCTAAAGTGTTTCTTACCAGTTTATATGGATTTTCCATGTTGTAAATAGATTAACATTTTGTCATTTTTACAAACACATTTTTTCAGACTGTGGGTTTTTCTATTCCTTTTCCTTCTCTTTTGCTTTGCTTTTGCAAACAGGAGAAATTTTCCTGTGTCAAATCTCTTGATTCTTCTCCGTGATTTCTTCTGTCACTTAAGCTTTTACAAATCCTTCTCACTCTGGAAGTTTGAAAAATACTCTATTTTCTTCAAGCCTTTCTAGGGGTGATTTGTTAACAGGGATTGGGTAAGTCATGTGGCACTTATTTTGGTGTCAATGTGATGTGACATACAGATGGTTGTATTTTCCAAATAGCTATTCAAATTCCTCAATGCCATTATTGCAACATTTAAAGACTGCAGCAAAATTCGCATTTAGGAAGCACCAGAGGGAATATTTTATCTTGCCGATGATCTCTGCAGGGACAAGGAGCCATGGAGGAAGAGGGTAAGGGAGAGTCACTGAAGAAACACTGAACAGAGGACAGTTCCTCAGATACCCGCTCAGCACTTCATTCACTGGGTGCCTTGGCTAAGAGTAGCCAGTAAGGAAGTATAAAGAAGGATGTGGATTCTAAGAGAGACTGAGTAAAAATCTGCTATTCATTATAGCTCATCCTGTAGATCACAACTTTACTAGGTAACAAGAAAGCACTTCAGATCTCCTAGGGTACTGAAATAAAAGATGCCCATTCCTACGACAGGTAAGTCAAATGAGGGAACAAGGCTCACAGAATTAGAGAATCTCAGGCCTGTCTGGCATCTCCTACTCATTAAAAAAAACTCAGGGAACAGATGGAGGCCCAGAGAAGTTAAATGAGTTCTTACATTCCCAGAGCTATTTACAGTAACACGGGGTCTAGAGCCAGGATCTAGAATTCAACGTGTGCCCTCCTCCATCCCAAGTAACCTCTTCCACACAGAGTACAGGCAAACCTCGGAGACGTTGATGGTCCGGTTCCAGACCACACCAACAGAGCAAATATTGCAATAATACAAGTCACGTAATTTTTTTGGTGTCCCAGTGCATATAAAAGTTATGTTTACAGTATACGGTAGTGTATTAAGTGTGCAACAGAACTATGTCTAAAAAAACAATGTATATAACCTTAATTTAAAAAGACTTTATTGCTAAAAAATACTAACCATCATTTGAGCCTCCAGCAAGTCTTGATCTCTTTGCAAGAGTAACATCAAAGATCACCGATCAGAGATCACCATAACAAATATAATAATGATGAAAAAGGTGGAAATATGCAAGAATTGCCAAAATGGGACATAGAGACATGAAGTGTGCAAATGCTGTTGGAAAAATGGCACCATTAGACTTGCTCGACGCAGAGTTACCACAAACCTTCAATTTGTTAAAAAAAAAAAACCCCAAAACCTGCAAAGCTAAATAAGGCAAAGTGCAGTAAAACGAGGTATACATAAGTTAGTGTATATACATAAGTTAGTGGACTCTAAGGTCCGGCAAGGGCCACGTTTCAGTAGTTTTCTTACTTGGCGTGCACATGTGTGTGTAGATGTGCTTGCACACTTATATTCATTCACTGGATGAAGGCTTACTCCCCACCTACACTGTGCAGCCACTGCTCCAGGTGCTGGAGACACAGCAGTGCCTTACATAAGCTCCTTATTCTCAGGAATATATATTGTTACCTATATTATATAGCATACATACTGCTTTATATCATAACTGTGCAATTACACAGCTTACTGCTTACAGATGCAGACTGACATATTTTGGGTTAAATTCTAACACCTCAAAGCAGCAGCTAAATATGAGAAACCCAAACTGTGGGGCCATAAGCTTATAACTGGGGGTCATCAAACGATAACCCTTGGGCCAAATCTAGCCTTGAGTTTTTGTAAAGCAAAAGCTTTAGTGGAACACTCCACGCCCACTCATTTGCATACCACCCACGGCTACCACACCCACTCATTTGCATATCACCTACCGCTACTTTCCATCCAATGGCAGAGTTGACTAGCAGTGACAGAGTCTGACAGTTACTATCTGGCCCTTACAAAAACCTTGCTAGCACCCCTGGCTTATAAAATAGGATAGAACCTCATTCCTTAATAGCAGCAGCACTAAAGGCTTCTACTGTGTTACAAAAGAAACTTCTTCAATGCATTTCACTCTGGGCTCTCTGTGCTAACAAGCAGG